CTGTATGGCCCTGCCCCCGCCTGCCCTGGGCCTGGATTCCCCTACCTTGAGTATTTTCCCAGCCGCTGCCTGGCCTGGGCTTGTATTTGCTCTGTTCCTGGTTGTGTGACGATGGCCTCAGCTGTTCCTGTGGGCAGAGCGCTGGTGCCGTGCTCTGTGCCCTGCCGAGCGGGAGGTTCCCCGTGGCAGCCTGGGCCCTGCGTGGCTGGCAGGGACGGGACGGGATGGGAGGAACCTGCAGGAGACGCGGCTCACGCGGCAGGTGATGGGTTTCGGTGACTGGGGCCTGGAGGGGACAGGACGAGGTTTGGGTGGGTGGCTTGTGCAGTTCGCCTGCTGTGTGCCCCTCCCCCCAGCTCTCTCAGGTCCGGCCCCGCTGGGCCATTCGCCCTGAGGGGGGAGAAGCGGGTCGGAAACACGGAACTGGAGCCATGTGCAGTGGGGTGAGGCTGCCCAATGGGGAAGGGAGAGACGCCTGCACACATGGGGATGGACACTCCTGCCAGCACATGTATACCAACGTGTACACACGCACATGCACACGCATGTGCAAACACGCCTACCCTTGTGTATACACACACCAGCTCACACACACCCCTGCATACCCATATGTCCACTCACATACACATGAATACCCCTGCGCATAAACATACCCACCCTGCTGCACACCCACGTGTATATGCACACTTGTGCACTCGCACACACATGTGCACACATAAATACGTCACTTAGACACCCTGTGAGCCAAGCAGTCGAGCCAGGGAACGTGACCCACTTCATAAGCTCCTGCCCATCCCTCTGTCGCTACCTAATTAACGAGAGCAAATTAGTGGCTGTGACAGGGCCTCAGGAGAGTCTCTGGGTTCTGTGCCCCCTGCTGGCTCTGCGCGGCAATAACCCAGCCGTACTGTGTCTCTGCCAATGACACCCAGCCCAGCAGCCGGTTAACGCCGGGCACGCGAGAGCCCTTCCGTAGCCGTAGGCGCCGAGCTGCACACCATGCAAACCCTCTCCTAGGAGTGCCAAGCGTAGCCCCTTCCTCAGTGTCTGGGACTGGGCGACAGGGGATGGATCACTTGACAATTGCCCTGTTCTGTTCACTCCTTCTGGGGCACCTGGCATTGGCCACTGTCGGCAGACAGGATACTGGGCTAGACGGACCTTTAGTCTGACCCAGTGTGGCCGCTTTTATGTTTGCTCCCCCAGGCTCAGTCGCTGGAGGGTTCCCCCCACTCACTCCCCCCAATCACAGTGGTGATTTCACTGGACTGTCAGCGTCTTGAGCCGGGGCCGGAGTGAATCTGTTAATTGGCCGTCTCCTCTGGCCTCCGGCCTCTGAGCCTAGCACTTCAGGGGAGTCATGTGCCTGGTGGGAGGGGGAACCCTTCCTGACCCTGGGGGTCAGATTCTGCCCTGACGCCTGACACTGAATGGTGCTTCTGATGGACTCTGCTGTGGATTTCATTTGCGGGCCTTTTAAACGCCGCCCCTTAGCACCGTTGTGGACCAGAGCGGCGGGGGGCAGACCCTTAATGGCTCCACTTCTGCTTTTCTCACGGCTCACTAGGCATCTCCCCCGTGAAAAAGACGGAGATCGACAAATCGCCCTTCAACAGCCCGTCGCCCCAGGACTCCTCCCCGAGGTTGAGCTTCACCCAGCATCACCGTCCGGTCATCGCCGTGCACAGCGGTGAGTCTGGCTCTGCGGGGGGCCAGGCCCCCCAAAGCATGGGGGGGGTTCCTTTGTCATTCACAGCCCGGGAAGGGGTGCTGGGCAGGGGGACCTGGGGGAGGGGCTGCACTAATGCATGCGTGGCTTGTATCATTTCTGCTGCGCCCACAGCCTGCCAGGCACCCTGCAGGCAAAGGCCCGGCCCTGAAGAGTTTGCAAGGGAGAGCCGCCAGCTACAGTCTGGCAGGGTCTGCGTGACCGGGGTCGGGGCAGAAAGAACCCAGCTCGGTTTTCAGCCCAGCATACCTTGGGCTTGTGGGCTGGGCCCTGTGTGAGTGGGGGTGGGGAGGGCGGTTTCTCGGAGCGGGACTGGTTTGCAAATGGCAATGCTCAGCACCACTCGTCTGCAAAATGCTTCACCAGCATCAGCTGATTCCTCCGCGCACCTTCCCCCTGGCCCCAGAGGCAGGTAAGGATCGGGGTCCCCATCCGCAGATGGGGGAAACTGGGTGTGAGGTTCAGTGACTTGCCCAAGGCCATAGAGGGGCCTCGGGGTCAGAGGCAGAGTGAGGGCTCAGGAATCCCTGGCTCCTGGCCCCCACCGCGACGCCCCGAGTGCGGTGCGATATGCAGTCATGGATGTAAGGCAGCTGGGCCGTGTGGGGCTGCCGCCCGAGCCGCCGTTAAGGGGGCGCTGGAACCAGAGTGGAGTGCCCGTGGGGCAGGAGGGGTGCTGGGGCGCTGCCTGGCCCGGAACTCTGAATGAAGGCCGCCCCGGTCATCTCTTTGTCTCTCTCCCGCTCTAGGTATCGCTCGAAGCCCACACCCTTCATCTACTCTGCATTTCCCCACCACCTCGATCCTCCCCCAGGCGGCCTCCACCTACTTCCCCCACACGGCCATACGGTACCCGCCTCATCTCAACCCGCAGGACCCTCTGAAAGATCTCGTCTCACTGGCCTGCGACCCGTCCAATCAGCAGCCTGGACCGGTAAGGAGCTGCCTAGGCAGCCCCCCACCGCTCCCCCACCCTGGGGTCCTGTGTTGGGGAGAGTCCCACAGGGCTGATGCAACCTGGCTCCTGCCAGACCGGCCCGGCACGTCCCTCACCATCAGAGACCTGTGAGCTGGGGACTGCTTGCCCCATGCCCGCACCCCTGCATGCTGTCGCCTGCCCGAGGCACCCCGAGCTCGGACACTGCACCGAGCGGCACTGTCGAAGCTAGATTAGATAGACGGGGTTTCTCTGGGCTCCCTCGGGGTGAAATCCCCCCCACACACACACACGCCTGTGCACTGCTCACACCCAGACTTCGGGACTTGGCTGGGGCGCAGGCCTGTGGCTGGCCCCTCCGCAGCGGAGAGACGCCGACACTTTGCCCCGGGAGAACATCCCATCCCGGGTGCAGCCCACCTGCAGGTAGGAGCAGCTCTGCTTTTCCATTCCCCCCTCCCCCCCCCGAGTCGTTTTCCTGTCCCTGAGGCGTTCGCTGAGAGCAGGGGGTTCATTCTCTGGCCCAGGCCAAACCCCCAAGAACATGGTTTGATTATTATTTTTAAATACCAATTAGTATCTTTTCCTCTTTCGTTTGACTGCGAAGCGGGCCGGGGAAGGGGTGGTGCTGGCCTGGGGCCAGCCCCTGCTGCGTGGGAAAGCCCCGAGCCACCACACCCTGCCAGGACTGAGAACCAGGAAGTGAAACTGAGCCCGTGCAGCCAGGCTGGGGCAGAAAGGAAGTTAGCTCGGTTAGTAGTGCTGGAAGGGGCTCGGACACAGGGAGGGACCGGCCATTTCTCGCTCTAGAGCGTCCTTTGAAGTATAACAAATGATTTTCAAAAGCTAAGGCCCAAATCCATTGCGAGAGCAGAGGGGTTTCCTGCCCCACGGACCCATGAACTGTCTGTCCCCCAGGGCATATGCGGATGACAAACCCCCCCCCACTTGACCTGTGCTGCCAGGTCCTTCCCGACCCCCCAACTTGTTCCATGCCAGGCACCTGTGGATGTGCTGTTCCCTTGCCCCAGGCCCTGTTAGTGCTGCCTGGTCACCTGGGAGTGGGGGGGGTATCTTCTCTCTGTGTCGCCTTCTGCTATGAAACCTCCTCCTTGGCTTCTGCTCTGGCCCCCTCCCTGCCCCACTGCAGCACCCTGGACAGTTCCAGCAGCGCAGGAGCAGGTCAGGACTCATCCACCTGCTGCTGAAACAGCCCGGGCCCCCCAGCCAGGACTAGAACCCCGGCCTGCCGCTCCCACGCCGAGGGAGCGCTCGCCAAGTGGCACTAGGAGTAGGTCCCGTATCCTGTCTCCCACATACATGCCCCTGCCGCTCTCCGGACTTGCCTGTGGGTTCTCCTCGCTCCCAGCACTGACTCCTGGCTGCCCCTTCCTCCCCGCCCCCAGCTGGCCCTTCGCCCAGGGGAGGCAGTCTGCTGGGCACAGTTCAGGCTCTGCTCCTCACCCCAGCACATCACGCCGTTGGGTTTTTCTGGAGGACCCCTGGGGGCTGTGGGTTAATTTCACCCCCGCCCAGGGAAAGGGGGCCACAGGCAGACTGTGCTCCACAGCCCTCCAGCTCACAGCCCCCTCACAGGCAGCCTCCGGGCCAGGAGGCCAGTGGCACAGCCAGAATCCTGCCCTCGCCCCAGTGTGGCAGCTTCTCCCGCTGGTGGCTGGGCCCTGGCGCGGCGGCTGCGGGGACGTGACCCCCATGCTCAGGGCCGGCTGGAGAGGCAGAGCCCCCACCGGGCAGGTCTCGGAGCCTCTGAAAGCCGCAGAGCGGGATGGAGGGGAAGGAGGCAGCTCCACAGCTTTTGAAGCCTTCAGCTGGGCCCCTGCACCCTAGCGCGGGCCCCCCAGCCCCAGGGTTTGATGGAGCAGCGATTGCTTCCCAGCTGGCTCTGGGCCACCTCGGCTGGGCGCCCCTCCCCACTGGGGGCGGGTTCAAAGGGCTCCCTGCCACGGGGCTGACGGGGAGGGGTGCCGCCCCCTCACTCTCTTCCGCTTCCCCCTCCGGATTCAGAGGGCAATTTGGTCAATGTTTGGGAGTCTAAACTGGGACCCCCAGGCTCTGCCGATGCCCCTCAATCCCGCCCCGCCACCCCCTGCTGGTCCAGTCCTGCGCCCCCAGGCTCTGCCGATGCCCCTCAGTCCCGCCCCGCAGCCCCCTGCAACCCCGTCCCTGCCGTTCAGTCACAAGCCCAGCTGGCCGGATCGCGCAATGGCTGATCTGGGTAGCTGGGAGCTAGTTGCACTGAAAGCCGAGGAGGGTGCATCTCGTGGGACATGCTCACTGTCAGCCACTTAGAAGATCCCCAGCTCCCCCCTCGCCTGCCAGGGCACTGAGAGCGGGCACTGCAGGAGGCGGGCACAGGCGGGCACTGAGAGCAGGCACTGTGGGAGGCAGGTGCTGAGAGCGGGCACTGAGAGTGGGCACTGCGGGAGGCGGGGAGTAGGGAGGCACTGAGAGCGGGCACTGCAGGAGGTGAGCGCAGGCGGGTGCTGAGAGCAGGCACTGTGGGAGGCGGGTACTGAGAGCGAGAACTGCGGGAGGCAGGCACAGGTGGGTGCTGAGAGCGGGCACTGGAGGAGGTGGGCGCTCAGAGTGGGCACTGAGAGCGGGCACTGCAGGAGGTGGGCACCGGCGAGCACTGAGATCGGGCACTGCAGGAGGCGGGCACAGGCTGGCACTGAGAGCAGGCACTGCGGGAGGCAGGTGCTGAGAGCAGGCACTGAGAGTGGGCACTGCGGGAGGCGGGGAGTAGGCAGGCACTGAGAGCGGGCACTGCAG